TTCATAAATTGAGTGTTAGGCATTATTTTTGGAGTTGATTATTTGCTTCTTCTGTGCAACTTTTGACAATGAGGGTAATATTTCAATGGAACGGAGGTATCTGCAAATTTGTGGATTTGATACATTTGCCATTCATTTTGAAATGAAATTGACAGATGAAACTTTCAAGATGGCGACTGGGCGCCATCTGGGAAAAAAATGAATGGAAAGGGGGGTCTTGTGATACATCATTTTGAAGCTCATAACGAATACTTCACAACCCTAGAATATGAAGTCAATATCTTCACCTACTACAAAATGGCGGAACATTTAATAATTTCATGAAGACGAACACATTAATGTCGATATTTCTAGAAATATTCCTTTTTATCTGCATATGGTAATTCCAACAACCCTATACGGTTTGTTGAGTTATTTTTTGTTCATGAAAACGACAAAAAATGTCAGTACGACAATGTTCAGTTCAGTTAAAATATCCTCATTTAGTTTTCGGTTTTACTAGCAGAAAGGTACCACGTCAACAATCTCTAAAATAGTCAATTTTCGTCCATTGGAGAAAAAAATTGAAGCGTTTTTTATTTACGGTGCGACGCGTAACTTTCACGAGACCGAAAGTATTTTCAATGAACGTTTTCCGAATTTTTAGTTACGAGTGTACTTTTTTTTTAAACGGCAATGTTCAAAGACAAAATTGTCGTTATTGGAATGACACAAACCCTCACGTTTTCCGGGAAACACATACCCAATATCCAGAAAAAATGAACGTTTCGGCAGAAATATCAGGAAACCATATTGTAGGACCTCTATTTATTGATAAAAATTCAACAGGGGAACTGTANAAACTACTGTTGACCCTCCTATTACTGAAATTGTCGAAGCGAATTCCAATGAATTCGATATGGATATTGTAATTCAACAAGATGGAGCATCACCACATTTCTCCAGACAAGTAATAAAGTTTTTTGACTCTACTTTTCCCGGTCGTTGGATTGGCCGTCGATATCCTACAGAATGGCTAGCCCGCTCGCCAGATTTGACATCTTTACACTTTTTTTATGGGGCAATTTGAAGCAAAATGTGTACGGAACTGAATTTGCTTCAATATTGGATATACGGCAGAGAATAATAAATATTTGTAGAGATATTGACGTTACTGTGCTCGAAAATGTTCGTTGTGAAATATCGGATAGACTATTAATATGTCAAGATGTTCAAGGCAACCATTTCAAGCATCTTCTGAAGTGACATCAAGCTTATTACCTCATATTATGTAGTTAAATGTCAATGTATTAAGGCAATTATTAAAAGTTTCGCTATTTTGTTGTAGTTGAAGATATTGACATTATATTTTAGGGTTCTGAAGCATTTGTCAGGAGCTTCAAAAAGATGTGTCACAAGACCCCCCTTTCCATTTAATTTTTTCCCAGATGGCGCCCAGTCGCCATCTTGAACATTTCATTTGTCAATTTCACTTCAATTTCCCCAATTTAATTTTTGAAGTTGACCCGTTCAAAAAATAAATGGGGGGGGGCATTAAAGAAATGCACTGTATATTTCGTTATGTGCTGCTGAAAAAACATCATTTAATGAACAGTTGTTCACAACCTTAGTATGAATAAGCTGTGGGTATAATTGAACTCGTCACCAATCATAATCTTGATAAAGAGTAGCATTCTCGTTCAGATAAACAAATTAGTTTTCTGAAGAAATGTGTTATAGTGGAGGTCGAATAGTATTTGGTCCTAATTGTTCATTCTCAAGTTTAACTTGACCGGTCAATATATTTGGGTATGAATATTACTAGAGTTTCGTCCCAACACCGAACCGTTGTTTTTAACACTTCGACACGTGTTTCAATTACCAAATGATCATCTTCAAAAGGAATATTGAACAGTTTAAAGATTGAACAGTCTAAAGATTAAATAGTTGATTCTTCCCCTTGAAGATTAATTAGTCTAAAGGTTAAACGGTTTAATGTTCCCCTTGATGATGATCACTTGGTGATTGAAACACGTGTCGAGGTGTTAAAAACAATGGTTTGGTGTTGGGACTGAACTCCAGTAATATTCATTACTATACCAAAAGTTCCAAACAGTGCATCACATATTTGGATATATAAAATGTCAAAATCTTAATCCGATTAGGTCTGTTAGTGTGTTTTCTACTGCTGGTGCATTGATTTTTATACTTTGTAAATGACTAATGTTCATTGAAACTATCGAAAAGTGTTGGGGTGATTTTCAAAGACGCTAGTAATTTTTGTCATGTCAGTTCGACTTGATATTCATGTCATGCCCGCATTTGCGAAGTTCTCTCTCAGGTAGCAACATACATGGATACAGCACCAACGGAAAATATTAATAAGCATCGTAGTTAACGAAATGTTACAACAATTATATACCTTTCAACATTTTTAATTATCTTCGGTGGAATAATCCGTGCGCTGGTTTTGTATGTCAACATTTCGACTAATTGGCCGTGTCGAATTCAGAGCGTGTCATGTTCTGAACATGTTCCGGGCGTCAGAATTCGTTCGCAACATACGCGCCCTCTGCACGGTGAAATGTGACGGTGCGACGGCATAAAGTTATTAACTTTATGCGCCCATAGGAATAGAGTATTCGCCGGGGTGAATTTAGGATAACGAATCGTTTAGCTAATGAATTCTGGTGCTCTAGACTTTCGCCGTTCCAAGGATAAAAGGATGAATAGTTCCGTATTTATGTGAGGGTGTTTGTTGGCAATGAAACCGGCAAGGCGTTTGCATGCTTTGTGTCGGGTAGAAAGTGGTTTGGAAAGGAAAGCGCCATGGACTACAGTGCCATCGGCATCGTATTGGGCGGCCTATTTTTTGGGGGTTTCAAGAATGCCCGAAATTTCGAATTATATTCTATTTTCGTTCTTGGACGTTTTTCGAAATTGAGGCAATACATTTGAATACTTTTTATTGATAGTCCCTTCGCCTAGCATATATAACTTTGTTTGATTCGTAATCCTGTTAAAAAATCTGTCTGTTTTTCCGTTAACCAGCTGTCACCCCCCCCACCCTAACAACGACAGATCTTGAAAATTGAAACTTGTGCGAGCTAAGGACTAACGAGATCTTACTTTTCAACGTGTGATTCCTAACACCGGTTGAAAGATAGAAAGTGAAAACCGACCGTCCGGTCTTGCGGTTCTAACCACTGGTTCGCAGATCAGTCGATTGACTGAGTGGAGCTGATCACCCACGTCAACCCACTAGGCTACCGTCTCTCCAAATTTGCTTCCTTACTCATTGTAACGATGGATTGAAATAATGTAAGTTACCTGGAATTACAACTGGAACAATCCTGACATTTACGTCTGCTCTCCAGAGTGTATTTATCTTAAACAACCATTCAAATTATTGAATTAATCAACATTTGAAACAAAATTCATAAAAAGTTCGTACCTCTTATTAATGGCGTAATCATGGGAATATAGAATTTTCGGAAAATTCAAGGTGATGTCAAATTAAGGAATTGAGTCACTTGTTTTTCGGTCGTCGCTCGCTTTTGACGTTTTTAAATTCATTTGCTAATGAATGAAAGTGGAACTACTACCTGCAAATTAATTTGTCAACAATAGATTAAAAAGCGGACAAATTAATTTGCAGGTAGTGGTTCCACTAGTTAATTACTGAAAAATCAATTAGGATATTCATCATTTAATAAACAAATTCCACATTGGACCAAAAGACTCCAGGTATATAAACAGCTAACCCTCGTCTTTAGATTCAGTATCAATTTGATTCTCACGAAGATGCTACCCTTGTTAGCGAAACGGGCGTCGAGTGCAAAAATATCAGTTTGGTGTTAGGGTGATTGATCTCTAGAAAAAGTTTTCAAAAATGGGTTTGCAAAACCACTCACTACCTCACCTAACCCCACGAACACACGGCACTGATAAAGAAATATTGTGAAACGGACAAAAAATTAGTATTCAGTCAGTTCAGCTAGCCAAGCCTTTACTCTTCAACTACATTTGATAGCACGTTTACTAACTATCTGAGCGACTAGGGGTCACAGGCAAGAAATGTTTATGACTGTACTCTCATTTTTATTGCCGTTCCAATTTGGAATTGATAGACTGTAGAAGGTTTTATATGGTAATAATTAGTAATTTTATCAGTCCCGGTACATTAGTTTTCATTCAGCTGTACGGATTGATTTCGTATAGATTATACCTGCTTCTGGTTTACTGTGTTTCCAGAAAGAAATAGAACTTAAATTGAGTTGTCTAGTTAACGACAAAATGGTTTAGACTTTCACGGCTGAGGTTTTCAGTGTCATTTCTTTTCGAGTTTGAAAGCCGTGGACTTTCGGAATTTCTTTCTGTCGTTTCGCTGGCGCGAGTGTCTAGCTCCATCAGAGATTTATTCATCATGGCTTGCAGTCCGATTACCACCTTTTCGGCTTCGTAAAGCGTATTTATGCCTTGTCAGGTAATCAGTTGTATTTGTACCTGTATTTGTATCTGCATTTCTACCTGTACTCGTTCCTGCACTTGAACTTGGAACATTAACAATCTTGCTGCCTGTTGTCCTGTTCGTTATTCTCGAATTCCTTAAAATGGGATTTCATATTCAATTGACGTGCACCGCTTCTTCTTTTCAGTTGAAATTCTCCGTGTGTTTGTGGATCTCTATTGCCTCCAGTACCAGTCGGCTATGGTATCCCTGTTTGGGGGCAAAAAACCTCTACGGGGAGGAAATTTGGAGATTATACAACCAACTGGATAAAGACAGAAAACGTAAAACACACTTACTGGAAACATTGACATTTTTATGCCGCTGTCGGGACGCCAACATCACACCAGCTTTCTTGAAACTGAAACGGTCCTTTAAATCAGCTCAAGCAAATCGAATTCATTCGAGAAGTGAGAAAGCCTTCCTACGAGAACGAATTCATCATACACGGAGCCAGCTAGCGGAGACTGTCAATGCCTTGTTGAAACTACACCTTGAATTTGGCAACCGGATGAAACCCGAGGATTGGGACAAACTTGAAGGCATATCTTACTCAAAAGTGAAAAATGAACGGGACAGAGTGAGCAAAAAACACAAAGTGAAGTTCGAAAAACTATACGAGGCTGTATGTACAGCGGCCCCTCGTTTAGACTTGTCCAGAGTGGTCATAAACCGAACGGACCGGGTTCTCACTGAAGATGAAACGTCAGTGTTAGCACGAGGCGTTAACTTCGCGATTGTGCCACGACGGGTTCCAAATGAGGAAATTATCGCTGGTACAGAAGCGGCAATCAGGAATCTATCGGATGAAGGAGCGGAAGACATCAGGATTATAACAGCAAACATCCTGAACAAGGCACGACCTCCTAAATGCAACATCTCTAAAAGAGAGATTGCAGCCTTAAAGAACTTGAACTCTGATGAGAGCATCACGATACTTCCAACAGACAAAGTAAATACCACGGTGATTCTGAAAACGGAAGAATATAACAACAAAATTGAAGAACTACTAGACCCGGCAAACACACCAGCAAACTTCAACGGGACCCAACGCAATCTAAGTTAAGAAACGTGAACAAAATCATAAGATCTTCCTCACTGTCGGAAACCACACAGAAAGCCAATCTTAGAACTGAAGCTGTTCCACCTAGGCTCTACAGGCTTCCAAAAATCTAAAAACCAACATGCCACTGAGACCGATAATCAGTACCCCGGGCTCTCCGACCTACCACTTGGCGAGACATCTGGCCTCGCTCCTACAACCCCATGTGGAAAAGACCAACTCCTACGTCAAGGACTCGACAGACTTCGTTGGTAAAATTAGGGGCTTAACGCTGGAGGCGACGGATATTCAGGTCAGCTTCGATGTGGCGTTTTTGTTAACCAATGTCCCACTTGAAGACTCTCTGAGGGGGTTAGCCCACGTGTTTCCGAATGACATCGTCGAACTCTTTAGAACATGTCTCACATGAAGTTACTTTCAATGGGGGGGGGAAACTTCTATGAGCAACTAGATGGCGTTGCGATGGGGAGTCCACTTAGCCCAGTGATATCAAATTATTTCACGAAACGGTTTGAAGGGAAGGCGATAGACACTTTTGAATTGAAGCCGACCTTGTGGCTACGTTACATGAATGACACCTTCGTCATCTGGAAATATGAAAGAGACGCCCTGAACCGTTTCCTAAACTACTTGAACGCCCAACACCCGAGCATAGAATTCGCCATGGAGATTGAGCAAGACCCACGGATAGCTTTCCTAGATGTACTAGTAGAACGATGTGGTACCAGACTAACCCACAAAGTGTATCGAAAACCCACGCACTATCGAACCACCATCCTAGCCAAAAGAGAGGAGTCATCTCCACTCTAACGGAACGGGCTCGGAGAATATGTGAACCAGAACATCTGGAGAGGGAACTGAAATACCTTGAAGTGACCTTGAGATCGAATGGATACAGTGCCTCCGAGACCAGAAATGCCATAAAACCGAAACGTAACGTTCAGAAACGTTCAGAAAGCGAAAAAGGATCAGATGGTTTCGCGCGTATATATACCGTTTATCCCTAGGGTCACGGACAGAATTGGAAAACTATTGGGCCAACACGACATCGAAACAGTCTTCAAACCCACGAGGAAGATACAACAAAGCCTCAGGTCGGCTAAAGACAAAAGATACCCATTATCAGCAGCAGGGGTCTACCGCATACCGTGCACTTGTGGAAAGGAATATATCGGAACCACCAAACGATCCATGGGAACAAGACTAAAGGAGCATAAAAGGAACTTCAGACTAGGCCAAACGGACAAGCCAGCTGTGGCTGAATACGCACTCAGTGAAGGAGACCACAGAATTTTGTTTGAAAACATAGAACTAATTGCCCCCAACCAGAGATACCATAGTCGACTGGTACGGGAGGCAATAGAGATCCACAAACACACGGAGAATTTCAACCGAAAAGAAGAAGCGGTGCACCTCAATCAAATATGGAACCCCATTTTAAGGATTTCGATAATAACGAACAGGACAACAGGCAGCAAGATTGTTAATATTCCAAGTTCAAGTGCAGAAACGAGTACAGGTACAAATGCAGGTACAAATACAGGTATAAATACAACTGATTACCTGACAAGGCATACATACGCTTGACAAAGCCAAAAAGGTAGCCATCGGACAGCAAGCCATGATGGTTAAACCTCTGAAGAAGCTAGCCACTCGCGCCAGCGAAAAGTCAGGAAGAAATTCCGAAAATCCACGAATTTTAAACTCGAAAAGAAATGACACTTTCTAGTTAACCTTCATCCTATTCAGAAACCTCGAAACCTGTCTTTTATTCAAATAATTAAGTACATAATTTTGTAAACAGTTTGTTGCTACGTTGACAACGTTTTAGATTATATCTAGGTATCTACATAACCACTTGATTATTTTTTCAATTCCAGCTCACACCCACAACTTCTGACGTTTCTGTGAGTTTACTGCGTTGCATGGAAGAGAAACTTGCCTGAATGCCGCTTCCCTGAATAATTTTGTTATTTGACTTGTGTTTGGTTAAGAAATACCGACACGTTATTATCGTGTCGGTATTAATTTTGAGCTGGTCGTTTCCTGTCCCCGAATCCCCGATACATTCGGGAGGGCGCGTTGGCATCATTAACCAAAGACCAATTTCCACACCGTGGGGTAAGTGTTCATTGAGTTCGAGAATCATGACACTAAAACCAGACGCAAGAGCCAATAATGACAGCTTTCCGTCATTACATCATCATTATTTTTCATAGTTCGTTCACTCATAATTTCGGAAAGATACTTGTGACGAGCAAAGTAGTCGTCAATTAGTTTGCTGCCTGCTGGAAACCAGCCCAGCTCGATGGTCATTGAGTTATATCTGACAGACATTTATGTAAGATACCTCACAGAGGTTAGTCTTGCAGATGTTTTACGTCCATACAGAAGCATGATCACGACTGTAATCAATCGAGTATAGACCGACTCCGAGGTATTAGCTCTCGTCAGTGCAGGAAAAATCCGACTCGAACAACAGTGTCCCTGGTACTCGACTGACTTCAATATGGCTCAACTGCTCGTATGAAACAATTGTCTGAAAAATGATTTGTTAATTGGTAACAGTTCCATTACGTGAGCAACATACCAGAAGCGGAAAAAACATCCTATAGACCAACACTCAAAATTATGAAAATTTAGCAGTGTTCGTGGACTGTTTAGTCAAAAATGTTTTCAAACAATGACGAATTCGATCAAACCAAAGCACAAAAAGACAATTACAGTCCACTGGTATGAACCATATCAGCAATCACACACTGGATGAATAGGAATGAAAGACACATTGAATTCTCATGGGGTCCCAGTCACCAAGGAATCTCGTGTAATGAACTAGCAGATCAAACGTGCTACCGAAACACCTGATGTTTATAATATTCCTATTCGACAAGAAGACTTAAAAAAAATCAAATAACAGATTATGGGTTTATGGCAAACTGAATGGGAGGGAACAGATACAAAATTGAAAGAGGTGAAGCCAAAAATCACACCCTGGAGGTATTCTATTCCACAGACACGAAGAGAACAAACTGTGATCACACGCTTGAGAGTAGGTGATACCAACTTAACAAACATATTCATGCTCTGAGGACAACGACAACCAATATGGGGGCTAACACTGAAACATATCTTGCTAAACTGTGTCCAATATGATGGAGCTAGACAACGATTTGAAATACCAAGTTCTCTGAAGGAATGTCGGAAAAATTATAAAAAAATTTGGATGAGATTATAAAATTTATGAAAGCTATAGGGCTATACTCAAAAATTTAAACAAAGAAACAAATGATAAACAAACTAATAGTAGAAGGCCAATGACCTCGCAGTCGACGCCTTTGAACCACAAAAACAATTCAAAATCATGTGTTTCAGTGGAAACAATAATTTTTTGAGCCAACAAGACTATTTTTTTATAAAATGAAAAATATTGCAAATATGAAGTCTGTTTTTATATTTTGTTGGTAAATACTACTAAAAAGAATTGAAATTGATAGATACAGTAAATTATTTCATTTTATTTTTTTGAAAGTATTTTCAGTACTGAATTTTGAATAGTACTGAACAATTTCTATAACAACAGGAGTATTATCAGTATTAGTAATCAGAAATGCTTTGGATTAGTTGGATTTCTATTTTAACAAAACGTATTAGAAGTTGCGCATCTCATGATGTGCATTCTGCTGAAAATTATTCATAACTGAATATACGTTTCATATACCTATATCATGACGAAACGTTAAATCCGAAATGTGGGTCATCAAACGACTGTCATCAAATCAGTTATAGTTTATACCGATAGTGTATCTTAATTTAATGATTACTTTTTGTGACACGCAATTATTTTCTGGGGTCTATATTCAACTACTACGTTATCGAGTGAACAACAGAGTGCTTGGAGTGGGACCTTCGTCGCTGATCCCAAATCAAATCAAAATATGCTTTATTATCCAACATCTGAACATCTTACTGGCAAAGTCTAGTAAAGTAAAACGTGTATATGGGAAAATTAACAAATATAAACTATAAAATAATGCTTAGAGACAAGAGCAGAGTATATGGACAGAACGATATTAAGGCCAGCTGAACAAAGCCCAGCTGATCGTATACAAATATAAGTACATGAATATATGAATATTGAGTAAATGTAAATATATAATGCTATATAATGAACATTGATAGCCATTTCATGTTGATTTCAATAACTTGTTTACACAAAGCTACATGCCAATTACTCGATAGAGCCTTGGTAGAATTCGTCCACTGTATAATAGGGCCTCCCAACAAGGAATTCTTTTACTTTCTTTCTGAATTTCTTTTCATTATATATTCGCCTTAAATTAATGGGAAGGTGATTAAATAGCTTCTTGCTATTGGAAACAATAGAATTTTGTGTAAGGGATAGAGTAGGTGTTGGAAGGGAAATGAAGTAAGACTGACGTGTACTATAAGTTGAGGTGGTATTAAATTGATTTTCATATTTTTTTAGTGGATAAGACACACTGTTTCCAAAATAAAAAGGCATACTAAGGTCAGAATTTTTTGCTTCACAAATAATGGGCGGCATGAATCCCTGTGCATAAATATCTGATGAATCTTTTTTGTAGAGAGAATACTATATTGAAACAGTCTACATTTTTCAATTCCTATACTATCAGAGAAGTTTAAAAGTCTATGGCCGTATATAGCCGATCTTCAAAGCATCTTGAGCAACACTAGATTTCTCTGGTAGCCAAAACCGAGTATATGAAACATGTTTCTTTAAAAAGTGTTATTGTAGCCCGCCTAGTTTGACCAACATATTTTATCGCAATCGCAATTCATTCCGTAAATCGTACGCAAATAGTTTTCTCATTAGACTGTTTAGAGTATGTTGATGTCGTCTTCATGTTATCACGAATGTATAATTTTTTAGATTTCAATTTTCAACAAACTGTTCTCCTCTGAATTTATCTGACGATACGTCACTGTGAGATGAAGCCACACCGTCGACAAAACAACATCGC